ACAACAAAGGCGTCGAGGAGTGTTTGAAGCACAACTTGATTACCAGCGTGGACGCGCTCGACCCCACGGCCAATAGCCCAGTGCCGCCTTTCCGTATTCCTGAGTGACGGTCATTCTCATTGACCTCACCCTCTCTCCATTCCTTCTCCGTGTGTCTTTTTCTTTCGTCCTCTGTCGCCCGTTGGTGCGGCTTGCCAGTGTATCCTGCCGCGCTTGTGCCGCGGGGGATGCCAGCTGAGGTCGTCAAGTGGCTTTCGCGGTTCCGCTTGAAGTACGAGGGGCTCAAAAAGGCGGCCTCCGAGGAGGCCGTCGCCGGAGGGGGGCGGAGAGGGACGTGGGTCGGCGGCGAGCCAGGGGGGTAGGGGGAGAGGGGGGGGTCTTAGGACGGCAGGGTGTTTTTCCTCATGTGAAGCCCGTGAATTCGAAGAAGCACCCGCAGGGTTTTTCAGTAACACCCTGCATTCTAACCCCCCCCCCCCCTTTCCTCTACCCCCTCGGCGCGCCGCCGTGTGGGGGGTCGGCGGCAGGGAGGAGGAGGGGCAAGGGGAGGGGCTGGGAGGAGTGATGGGAGGAGAGCTGGGAGCTGCAGGAATGGGTGGACGGGTGCGGCGCGGGCGTCCCCGCCCCAAAGAGGCGATGCAGGACGTCGAAGCGTTCCCGAAAGTGGTGTCTCTGGAGCTTTTGGACAAGGAGGGCACCTGGGGAAGCTTGCGTGAGATCTCCGCGGAGCTCAAGGCATTGTCCAACCTGGACATCCACGTATTTCCCCGGCGGGGATGGATGGAAGCTCTCATTACAATGGGAGATTACGAATTAGGCAGCGATTCGGTCGCGGACTTCTCTTACCTGAAGGCAGAGTCAATGAACCTGCTATCTTCCTCCACGGTGTACAAAATGTTCCAGGCTGCGAACGCGAAGGCCCGTTTATCAAATCTGAAAAAGAACACGGGCCTCAGGGTCGAGGATCGTTTGGCCCGCGTCCAAGACCTCCTGAAGAAGGCGCCCGAGGATCCCGATCTCCTCTTCGCGAAAGTGATGTTGAGCCAGACCCTGGGCTCCAGCGAGAAGGTAGGGTACCTCTTGGAAAAGCCTGGACGGTTTGATATGCTGAAGGAATGGCTTCCAGATTCCACCCTGCGCTTCGTAGAGCACCTGGTGTCCCCGAAGGCGTGCCGTTCGTCCGAGGACTTTGCCGCCGGCGTGGAACTACTCGTCAATTCGGACTGCTTGAAAAAGATTTCGGCGGGGGTGGTTAGGTCCATCTGCGTCGACTACGTCAGCATGAAGAAAGTGGAGCACGAGGAATCGCAAAAATTCGCCATTGCGCTCGTGCAGGAAATGGCACATCAGAAGCTGAACGTCCCGCACAAGAAGGAGCCGTTTCCGGACCTGTCCGCCACGAAGCACAAAACGGACGTGGCCGTCCTGAGCGCCAGCGCCTTGCGGAGGGGGGGCGCGGTTAAGGAGCTTCCCGCCCACGTCCGCCTGGCAGCCCTGGCGCAGGAAGTCAAGAAGGCCGAGGAGGAAGAGAAGCAGGCGGAGGCGAAAAAGAAACAGGAGCAGGAGGAGGCGCAGAAGAAGGAGGAGGCCAGGAGGAGGAAGGCGGAGAAGGACGAAGCGTCGAAGAACGAGGACGAGCCCGCGAACAAGAAGCTGAAGACTGGCGAGGGGCCGCAGGAGGAGAAGGAGGGGGGCGCGGACCAAGGGACCGCCGCAGGAGGACAGGCGCCACAGGTGGAGGAGAAGAAGGACAAGGACGGGAAAGAGGAGGAGAAGAACCAGGAGCCGGGCCACGTCGAGGGGCCGAAGAAGGGGGAGCCGGCAGGAGGCGAGGACAGCAGCGGGGCGGCGAAGGGGGAGAAGGGCGAGGGGTCGAAGGGCGCCGCGAGCGCCTCCGCCGCGGCAGAGACCGCGGGCGAGGCGGACGGCACGGGCAAGAGCCTGAAGGAGGGCCAGCGGGTGGAGGCAGCTTTCCCTCCCTCCCCGTCTTGGCCCCCCTGCTCCTTCTGATCCCCTCCTCCTCCTGATCTCCTCCCCCTCCTCCTCCTGATACCCTCCTCCTCCTCCTCCTCCTGATGTCTTCCTCCTCCTCCTGATTTTTCCCTCTTCCTGATCTCCTCCTCCTGATGTCTTCCTCCTCCTCCTCCTCCTGATCCCCTCCTCCTCCTCCTGATTTCCTCCTCCTCCTGATATCATCCTCCTTCTGTTCTCCTCACCATTATGATCTCTTCCTCTTCCTGATCCCCTTCTCCTCTTGATCTCCTTCCTCTTGCTCTCATCATTTTCCTGATCTCCTCCTCCTGATCTCCTCGTCCTCCTGATCCCCTCCTCCTCCTGATCTCCTCCTCCTCCTGATCTCCCCCCCTCCTCCTCCAGATCTCCTCCTCCCCCTCCTCCTGATCTCCTCCTCCTCGCTCCTCCTGATATCCTCTTCCTTCTCCTCCTGATCTCCTCTTCCTCCAGCTTTTGCAGGTGCACTTCAGCCCCACGGGCAAGGATTGGGCCCTGGACGGGACCAAAGGGGTCATCATGAGAAAACGGGGCAGGGACGTGTTGGTGAAGCTGGACGGGAACGATGGCCCCCCGTTCCAGCGGCCATTCAGCATGGTGGTGCCGTTGTCTTCCCCGGGGGCGGCCGCGGCTGGCGCGGCGAGCAAGCCGGAGGAGAAAAAACAGAAGTGCAGCCTGCAGGACGCGCCTGCTCCGAGTCCGCTACGGGGGGCGCGAGGAGGGGGGGGGAGGGGGGGAGGAGTGGCGGGAGGCGGGAGGAGGAGGAGGAGGAGGAGGAGGAGGAGGAGTAGGTGGAGCTCCAGCAGCAGCAGCAGGATGAGGAGGAGGAGTAGAAGGAGGAGTCGAACGAGGAGGGGAAGGAGGGCAAGAGGGGGAGAGGGGAAGGATGGGGGGGTTAGGCGCAAGAGCAGAGAGGAGTAGAGAGGGCAGGAGGAGGAGGGGGGGAGGACGAGGGCCCGCCCCTCCTCTCCTCCCCCCGTCCCTCCCCCCTCCCCCCCTCCCTCCCTGCCCGAGCCCGAGGCACCTGCATAGTGGGCGGAAGTACAGGCGTGGGTTTGTCTTCCCAACGGGGGGCGCGGTGCGAGTGGGGACTGCCCGGCGCTGCGCCGTTAGTGACCCTCGCGCCGTTGCTCCCCGGCCCCGCGCACGGCGCGGAGAGTGCCCCTTGTTGGATGAGGGTCTCTCTCTCGTCCCTTCCTTTTTCGAGGCGTGTTCGTGATTCACCTGCACGCTCTCGGCGCTGTCCTCACTGTCCTTCTCTCCCCCCTGTCCTCACTGTCCTTCTCTCCCTCTCTCCATTCCCTCCTTCCTTCCCTCCCCCTCTCCTCCCCCCTCCTCCCCTCCCTCCCTCCCCCCCCTCCCTCCTTCCCTCACCCCCTCCCCCCCTCCCTGTCGCGAGCTGCCTTCCCGGGAGGACCTCTTCGGGTCGGCCAAGGTGAACAAGGCTTTGGACCCCTGAGAGCGGGGGCACGGGCGCGACGAGCGGCGGGGGACACACGACAGGCGACGGAACGAGCGCGCGGCCGAGCTCGCGCAGAGAACGGCGCGCGTCCCGCGCCCGCCAGCTCGGCCCAGCACCGCTGCGGGAACTGCCCGCGCACGCGGGCGCCAGGTGTGGAGTCAGCGTAGATTTTCGGGGGGGCGCGCGGATTCATTAGGTCGGCGCTGGAGCGGCCTGGCGGCGCCCCCCGCGCGCTCCGAGCGCGCCGCGGGAGCATGCTCCAGCAGCGACAGATTGCATCCGCGCGGCCCCTCGAAGGTTTTCCCAGTTGTGGTGCGTTATATTTCCCGCTCCGCGGCGCGCACGTCCGTGGCACGGGGGCATTTCTCGGCCTCGTCGGGTTCCCCGCGGATCTTTCGTTGAGCTCGCGAATGTCTCTGGGGTCAGGGAGCCCACTGGGGCGGACGGGCCACCGCGGTCCGTTCCTGGGCCGTATCGGCGAGGCCGCCTCGAGGGTTTTTGTGGCGATAAAATCGTCTGGCTTCGCCAACGTCCGCCGCTCGAGCGTTGTCGGGGCTGCGCCCGCCCCGCCGCCCCGACGCCCTCTGGGGGGAGAGTGAGAGTGAGAGAGAGAGAGAGAGAGAGAGAGAGAGAGAGAGAGAGAGAGAGAGAGAGAGAGAGAGAGAGAGAGAGAGAGAGAGAGAGGAGAAGAGAGAGATGAGAGAGAGGAGAGAGATGAGTGAGAGAGAGAGACGAGAGAGAGAGAGAGTGAGAGAAGAGAGAGAGAGAGAGAGAGAGAGAGAGAGATGAGAGGAGAAAGAGAGAGAGAGAGCAGAGAGAGAGAGATAGAGAGAGAGAGCGGGGGAGAGCGAGGGAGAGCGAGGGAGAGCGAGAGAGAGCGAGTGAGAGCGAGCGAGAGAGAGAGAGAGAGAGAGAGAGAGAGAGAGAGAGAGAGAGAGAGAGAGAGAGAGAGAGAGAGAGAGAGAAAAAGAAAGACCATGCATCCACACATACAGCGGAGGACGCGATTAACCAGGACTAACACACACTAAATATGATTAAAAGAGACCCCACCCGGACTAAATCGGACATCAGAGGCTCCCATCATTTGGGACCGAATTGCTGACTTGCCAGTGCATGTTCATCGACCAGTTGGCGGGGGACCGCGGCAACCTCGAGGCCGCTTGGTTCCTCACGGGGCTGGAGCCTCCCCCGTGTCGCGTGACCAGTCGTCACACGGAGCGCGAGGCCCAGACCCCGTTTTCACCCCTAGTGGATCCTCGCTGGCTGTCGGCGCAGGGCGAATTCATGAAGGAGCTGCAAGCATTTCGGGCGCGCCTCGACGCCGAGCGCGCCGTCGCGCTCCCCAAGCATCCACCTCATCAGCCCAAGCAGCCCAAGGTCTCAAAGCCCCCCTTCAAGTCTCAGGGTGCTCCCAAGGCCCCGAAGACGGTGCCCAAGAAGGACTGAAGATGCCCTTGGCGCCCGCCTTCTTGGAGGGGGGGCCTTCGCGTGGCCGGGGTACGCCGCCGCAGACAGTCTGCACCGACGCTGCTACGGCTGCTAGGCGTGTTTGGGCGCAGCGAGGGCGTGAGGGTAGGAATGCGCTCCTCCAGCGATGCTGTTGCGGCCCCGCAGGGAGGAGTACGTTCCGCCACCACGCCCCCCGCTCTGCTCCGAACCGCTCCTCGGATCCATTCGGCCATTTTGGCCGTCGCCTGCCTCAGTCGAGCGCTCCCTCCATGGGGCCTGCAGCCCCTGAGGTTGGTGTTCTTGCTGGTGCTTGTTCTCCTTCAAGCACCCCTGCTGCTCTTGCCGACGTCGCGCCATTTGTCGCTGACTTGTCTGCCTTGCTGCGCCTGTTTCCAGGCGCGAACATTGATATCACCCACTGGGCGGCAGCGCTGTCCCAGGTTGGGATGGGTGCTCGATGTTCTCTTGGATCTTTCTCCCGCTCATCAATGCGTGCAATGGACAGGGACGACCCGTACCTTTTGGGGCCGCCTCCCCGCGATCCTTGGCCGTGCCCGCCTGCTCCACCTCTTGGTCCCCCGCCTGACGGCTTGTCGGCGAGGCGCAGGGAGCGCTGGAGATTGCGGCGCGCGGCGCGGACGCTCGCGCAGTATTCTGTTATTGCGTTGAACTGGCTCACTTTGGGTCATCCTAGCCTCGCTCCCGCCGAGGCTCGCGTCCGCGCCACGGTCTCGCCCTGCCAGGAGGGCGTCCGCACCCGTATCGAACGGTTGTGTCGGATCGCAGTTCGCCTTGCCCGTGGCGGCAAGAGCGACTTAGGTCGAGCCTTCGCCAAGTTCGACTCTACTGAGGTCTCGCTCCATGGCCTGGCCACCCATGTTGCAGCTTTGGAGGCCTCCTTCACCTCCTCTTCTTCCGTGCCCGCCCCCATGCGGCACTGCCCGACCAGCGCTCCTTCCGTGCCTGGTTCGCTGGCGTCTGCGGCGGCTTGGGACTCCACCCAGGTCGAGCCCTTCGATTAAAAGTCAGGGCGTCTCGCATTAAGTGGGATTATTCGCCAGTGTTTGATCCCATTCCATTTCTCTCTGACGCTCGAGTCCGCGAAGCGTTCATCAATCCAGAGGAGATGCGGCTCCCGGCGTCAGAGTGGCCTGCTGGCCAAAAGGGGGCGCGTGTCCATATGGACCGCGCCGAGCTGTGGGCCCTACTCCAGAAGTGGGATGCCTGCGGCGCCCTGTACCTGACTCCTGCTTCGGACCTCGCCTGGGATGAAGCCTGCGGAGCTTTCAGGGTACCGAAAGACAGCGACTTCGACAGGTTGATCCTGAACCCAACGGTCGTGAACAGCCGCTGTGCCTCAATCTCGTCCAGCACCCAGCGCCTTGGCCAGGGTTTCCTGCTGTGCCGTTTGGGGCTGGCGCCTGGGGAGTGGCTGGCAGTTTCTTGCGACGACCTACGGGAGTTTTACTACACTTTCCGCGTTCCTCCCGCGCGCGCCAGGCGTAACGCCCTGCGCGTTCGTCTGCCATCATCCCGCTTCAAGGCCTTTCGAGCCTGGCGCCCCGAGCTCGAAGGTGTGGACGTCGCGCCTTGCCTCAATGCTCTAGCGATGGGCGACAACATGGCGGTGGAGATTGCCAACTCTGCACATGAGGGCGTCTTGCACAGCTTCGGGGCCTTGCGGCCTCACGAGCAGGTTGTCCACCGCTCGCCCTTCCCGCGGGGACCGTTTGTCGAGATGCTGAATATTGATGACCATACAGGTTTTCAGAAGCTCTCGTGGCATGGCTCCGCTCCTCGCCCCGACGACCCCTGTCGTCGTGATCGTGAGGTCTTCGCCGCCTGCGATGCAGGCTACCCGCGCGTGGGCCTGATTCAGCATCCAGGCAAGCGCGCGCGCGGCGAAACGCACAAGGTGGTGGTGGGCGCCGAGGTGGAAGGGCGCATAGGCATCGTCTGCGCTCCCCTAGTGCGGACGGTGGCCTTGTGCAGGCTGACCCTGATCCAAATCTACCTCGGCATCACCACACGCTCCCTGTTAGCCTCTCTTGTGGGCTGCTGGGTCCAGGTGTTCCTCTATCGCCGTCCGATGCTCGCCATTTTCACGCACGTCTACAACTTCCTGTCGCGCCTGGCGACCGAGGAGGGCATTGAATACGACTTGCCTCCTTATGTTCGCGACGAGCTTTTGGCCTGCACCTTTTTAGCCTTTACGGCTATAACCGACCTTCGGGCGCAGCCTTGCCCCGAGGTGTTCGGTGCGGACGCGTCTCTCGGCTGGGGGGGCGTTGTCCGCGCTCCTATCAGCCCGCAGCTCTCCGCCGAGCTGTGGCGCAGATCGGAGCACGGGGGGTGGCACACGATCCTGCACAATCGGAGCCTCCTCGCCGTACTCAGCCGCGGCGTGCCCTTGGGCCCTGAGCTCACCCAACTGCATCACGACCTGGGGCTCCCGTCTATTGAGCCCCCCGTCGCGCCGCGTTGGGTCACCGAGCTATCAGAGGCGCTGCGCTTTCGGCTCGCGTACAAATGGGAGTTTCGCATGCCCCGTCACATCAATATCCTTGAGACAACGGTGTATAAGAGTTTGTGCAAGTATTGCTGTATTCGCCTCCCTGACTCTCGTATCCCCGTTCTCTTGGATTCAAAAGTGGCTTTGGGCGCGACCGCGCACGGGCGCAGTAGCTCTCCTGGTCTATCTCACGTTCTTTCGACCACTTTGCCCTATGTGATAGGAGGAGGTTTATATATGGGAGGCATGTACGTGCCTACGGACGTGCACAGGGCCGACGACCCCACGCGAAACCGTGCGGTGAGGCCCCCGTCCCGTGACCCTCCCGCCTGGTTAGTAGAAGCAGAGAGAGGAGAATTTACTCGCTTTGATTGCATTGCGTACGCCGACTCCCGCTCGTCATTCCCTACTTGTCTCTGGGGCCGATTTGTTGCGCAGCTTGTGGCTCGAGGCCCCGAGGGGCTGCTCAGCCACCGCTGGGCGGCCGCCCCCCCCCCCTCGGAGGGCGCGGGGATGGCCGCCGACGCCGCCGGTGACGGCGCCCAGGGGGAGGCACCTGACCCCTCGGGCGCCGCCGAGAGCAGCAGTGAAGCTGCTCTCGCCAGCGGAGAGCGTCGCGGGCCTCGCAACGCGCTCTTCGCTGATGGCGAACGGCCTCTCGCGTCCACGGCAGACGCCACGCCAAAAGCGTCTGCCTCCGCGGAGGGCGGCTCGCCCGGCCCCGACCCTGGCGCCGCCAGCGCAGGATCGGCTCCCCAGGCCGCCAAGCGTGCTCCGCCACTGGCCCTCCGCTCCAAGGCCGCGGCGGCCCCTCCGCCTGCCATCGGGGTGGGCTCGTCGCGCGTCGGCTCGCGGGAAGCGCCGAAGGGGGCCTCAGCAGCTACCCCCCGCACCTTCCAGCGAGCGGTCAGGGTGAGCGCCTCTCGCCAACTGCTTGGCGTAGTGGACGGGGCCTCGCGCAGCACAATTGAGGCCGCCTTCAGGCGCCAGTCCCTAGTCTACCATCCAGACAGGACTCCCGCGCACCTGGGCG